ATTACTTTATTTACTATAAACTATAATATAATTTATTAAATATATTTTATATAATTAACATTTTTATTAATTATATAAAGTAAATATATAAATAGTAAAAATTATATAAGTAAAGTTTAATAAAAAACTGCTGTATTTAATAATAATCTATAACTATGCTTTATAAAGTGGTAAATTTATAATAAATAGCCTAGGATTTATTTTAAACACTAAGTGCCTTTTTAAATACTTTAAGGTTAGCAGTTAAATTACAATTACACTAGCTTTTTTTCTATTTAAAATTTATTTTATTAAAGTATATATAGACGTAACTTTAGTATATTTATTCTTTATTTTATAAATATAGTTTAATATATATATTTAAAATATATTAAAAGTATATATTTATTAAGGTTATTAAGCTAGTTTATATTAAAAATTATAGGGCTATTAATAAATTAATTTACTTTTTTACTTTAAATATATATTTATTTTAAAAAAGTAATAATAAATATTTTATTACAGTAATATTATCTATAGCTATTATATTAAGTATTTAAAATATATATATTTTTTATTTTTTTATTTTATTTTATTTAACTATATTATTATAAAATACAAATATATTTAAAAATAAATTAATTATTTTAAGTTAATATTTAATCTTTTTTTTTTTTTTTAAATAATGTTTTTTAGCTTTCTTAAACTAATAGCTTTTAATATTATAAAAAAATATAAAGTTAAATTAAGCTATAGTTTTACTAATCCTTTATTTAATTTTAAAAAAAAGTAATAATAATTATAATATAAATTTAATGCTTTAAAAAAAACGTTAGTTTAAATTATTTAATTTTAATATAATATTTTATTAATAAAGATCTTATAGTATTTTAAATTTTTTAATTTTATTTTTAATTTTTAAAACTAACTTAAAATAATTATTAGTAAAAATATAAATTATAAACTTATAATTAGTTAATATAAATATTAAATATAAAATATTAAATAAAAATCTAAAACTACCTAAAGCTATAAAAATATTATTTAATATTATATTAAAAATTAAATAAAGTTTTAATATTATATTAAATACTTTAAAATAAATTATTTTTAATAATTAAAAGTTTATATTAAAAAGTTTTAAAAATAGTTAATAAAAATATTACTTTAAGCTTAATAATAATAATTTACTTAGTTAAATTTTATTTATTACTTAAATTAAATATATTTTAGTAATAGCTATTAAATATAAAAAATATAAATATAAAAAAACTAATTAAAATACTATAGTTTATTATTTTTTAATTTAATTTATATTTAATAATAATTTTAGTAAATAATATAATATTTTTAATATTATTATGTAATAAAATAATTTTTATTTTTTATTTATTATAAGTATTTAGTTAATTTTTTTTATTATAATACTATAGCTTAGCTATATAAGGATTTTAAACTAGTTTTAATTTTAGTTAAGTTAATTAATATTTATATTTATACTATATTTAATTATTATTTAAAGTTAATAATAATTATAAAAGCTTTTAATAATATTATATTTACTAAGTTTATTAACTATATTAAATATTTTATACTTTAACTTTATTTTATTATAGTATTTAGTAAAACTAAATAATTAAATAAAAAGGAAATTAAAGAAAAAATATAGTTATAAATAAATATTTAATATATTTTATAATAGGCTTTTTTTATATAAGTATTAAGTAAAACCTTTTTAATTAGTGTATAGCTTAAGGCCTTAAAGTATTAATAAATAGTTTTAAAGTAAAAATACTTTAAGTAATAAAATAATTATTAAAATTATTTTTTTATAATTAAATTTATTAAATAATATTATTAATTAAACATTTTTAATTATTAAAAAAAGATTTAATTATTTATTTTTAAATTAAAAGTTATTATTTAATAACTTTAAATATTAATTTATAAATATTTAAAAAGATCTTTTTATATTTTATAATTATATTAAAAAAAATATTTTAAGTATTAATAAAACAATTATAGATTTATATATTAAAGTATATTTTATTTAAAAATTAACTTTTTAATATATTTATTTTTTAATAGACTTTTAAACTTATAATTTACTTTAAATTAAAACTATATACTTTTAATTAATATTTTTAGAAATTTATTAATTAATATAATTATTATATTTAAAAAATACCACTATTTAACCACAGTTAATATATTATAATATTTTCCCTTATAGCTATAAATAAATTAATTTTAGTATTTTTTTTATATATAAATAAATTAAAACTATAAATAAAAAGTAAGTTATTTTAAATATAAATAGAATACTTTTTTATTTTTTTTATAATATAATTTTTAAATAATAAAAGTTAAAATATTTATAATAAAAAGTATTATTTAAAATACTTTTATTATTAGCTTTTATATTAGAATAAATATACTTTAATATTTATATAATAATAAAAAAAATACTTTAATAAATTTTATAATTATATATAATTTTATTAATAAAAGTAAATATATTAATAATTATTATTAATAATTTAAAAATAAATATAAGTTTTATAAAAAAATATTTTAATTTTAGTTTATTTAATTATACTATAATAATAATTTTAAAATTATAATATAAATTTTTTAAAAATTAACTTTTATTTTATAAAATTATTATTTATTAACTAAAGTATTTTATTTTTAAAAATATTAATAGTTTTTTAAATATATTATTTAAAAAAATTAATTAAAGTAGTAAATTTTTATTATTATTATATTTATATATATATTATTTTATTATTAAACTTTATATTATATTAATTTTTTTTATTTTTAAAATAATTAATTAAAATATAATATTTAATATTTATAAAAGAAGTTTTAATTAAAGAGGAAAGTGTAATTAAAAAAGCTATACTTAATTTTATAAAAGATATTAATAATAATAAAAACACCAATAGTAATAAAGACATTAATAGTAATAAGAATATTAATAGTAATAGGGATGCTTTTACTATTAGTGGAAGCCTTTTTTAAGCGCTAAGGGCCCTACGATTATAAAGTCTATAGATATTTAGTTTCTATTAATAACTTATATATAATATAATATTATAACTTCACTTAGTTTATTTATATAGCTTTTACTAACTTTATACTAGCGTTAGTATTTTAGCTTTATTTTATATATTAAAACTTTTTATTTACCTTATATATAAATAATTAAAAATATATATATATATTTTAAATATTATTATAATTTTATATTTATATTTATTTATTAATTTTGCTATATATATTTTTATTTCCTTAATATAAAGATTTATAAAAATTATATTAAAGTTTTAATAAAAATTAACAATATATTAATAAAGTTATAAGCTATTAAAATCTTTTTAAAATTACTTTAAACTTTTTATATAGTAATACTTTAGTTTTTTTAATAAATATAAAAAATAAAAGGTAATTAAATAGTGATAAATTTAAAAAATATTTTTATATATTTAGCTTTAATATATTTAAATTTAATTTTATTAAAAAAGTTAAAAGAATATAATAAAATATTATTAAATTAATTAAATTTTAATAACTGCTTAATTAACTACCTTTTTATTTACTTTAATTAATTTTAACTATATACCTTAAAGTTTATTACTTAATAAAATTTATATAAAAACGCTATTAAAGTATTTAATATATTTAACTATAATTAAAATAATATTATTTTATTAAAAGATATAAAATAAGTAATTTAAGAAATAAAAAAAGAATATATAATAATAAAAGAAAATATTATTATTATAATAAAATATTTTAATTATTATAGTAAAGATAAAGTAAATCTTAAAGAATTTATATAGATAATAAAAAAGACTATATATAGTTAGTAAGATATTATATAAAGTAAGAAAGATAGGCTTAAAAATATATTTAACTATAACTGAAGTGCAGTATAAAGACTCTATTAAAATTAATTAAAATCTATATCGTAAGGTGTGTAGGTCGCAAGTGTGGCGTTCTCTTGCTGCAGAGATCGAAAACACCGACTTCCAAACCGAATGTTGCATCTCCAAGGTGTTGGGCTGCAATACTATAACGAGAATTGGGTGCCCATGTATATTGGTCGCCCGGCATTCATCTGGATTGCTTTGGGGTCTTTTCCATACGTACGAGGTACTGCCATCGGTATATATAAACAGCCATCACTGCATTTTGTCACTTCGGCTTACACATTTCTCCAGGTCATCTGCTCTTCCATTTCCATTCATCTTAATTAATTGCCTCGACACATGATGGCTCTCTGCCGTAATTGCTCCGCTTTTACGCTAGAGGGACTTGCGTCGGAGGGAAAATATACACACTTGACGCTTCCTGATATCTTCACCTCGGGGCTTACGTGCAATCTGTGCGCCTTAATGATGTCAATGATTGCAACAGACAACTACCCATACCTTAGTGGAAAAGATAGAACCGTTGACGGTGTTCTCAAACTGCTTTCAGCCAAATACGTAAGGCCTGTGACTATTGTGCCCCAAAAGATATATCTGGCGTTATGCTTAACCGAGATTGGAGAGACGTTGAAGTCCGTGGCTGTGACTTACTTAGAGAAATTGACGTATCCAGGTGATGACAGTATACAAAACTATCGCTGGCAGTAAAAGATATACTCACAAAGTATTATAGAAAACTTGAATGACGACTGAGAAGAATTCTGCACATTGCATCTTCCTGAACAGTCTTTAAACACTCACAGATCTTTATTATTTGTTCGTTCTTGGCTCCGAGGCTGTGATGAATCCTACGACAAGTGTCGAAATCTCTTCACCGGGTCAGTCGCCTGCAACCAGCCCAAGCAGATGCAGCCAACCAGAATCATCTACATTGGCGGCTCTGAAGAGCTGCCGGAGCCAAGACTGCTCGAGACAAAAGCTGCGAGCCTGCGAGCGCCATACGTTGCCTTGAGCCACTGCTGGGGGCCTCCGGAGAAGCGGCCGCTCACGACGATCCATTAAAATTACGTAAAACATCAGTAAATGATTCCGTGGAACAAGCTTCCGAAGTCTTTCCGCGAAGCAATGCAGATAACCCGAAGACTTGGAGTTGAGTATATATGGATTAATTCTCTTTGCATAATTCAAGATGACTCCAGAGATTGGGAACACGAAGCTGCCATTATGGGGAAGATTTATGAGCAGTCTTAACTGACGATAGCAGCTTCTGGGGCATCCGATTCCACGGAAGGCTGTTTCGTCGATCGTCCCCATGAGACTGTGGTCCAACTTCCCCGTGCAGCGAAAGAGGGAAGCGTGTTGTGCGTTCGACACCTTCCCTTGAACGGCGTCTATTACGGCAAAGCCGATACGAGTTTGACGCATCTGGGCGTGCTTGGGAGTCGCGCTTGGATCACTCAGGAGTGGCTATTGCCTCGGCGTATAGTCTATTACCGGCGAGGCCAAACCGTCTGGAAGTGCAGAACAAGAATGGAATACGAGGACACCGGGACGATTACGCCCCCCACACTCGTGATGGGTTGAGATAGTCTCGCCAAGGAGGTTTGGTATGCTTGGGGGCAAGTTGTCAGCGATTATAGAGCACGCAACCTCACGCGCATTTCCAACGGATTGCCGGCTATCCAGGGCTTGATCGAACGAGTGTCATTTGTGGTGGACATGGATACTTGCTACTTCGGCCACTGGAGCAGCAACATGCCAGCGATACAGGCATGGGTTATCAACGCGCTTCGTCGGCATCACTTGGAAAATCTCTCCCTCGACGACATCGCCGGTAGGCGTTGCGCTACCAGCCAATTTAGGATACCTTCTTGGTCATGGGCATCCATGACGATACAAATGTTCTTTTCTGAGCTCTTCCGACCACCCACTATGACGTTTCATCCTCGCCATTGGGCCATTGACCACCAGTCAGGCATATTAAGCCTCCGGGCGCGGTGTGCTAAAGTCTTGATCATGACAGAGCCACAAGACGAAGACGAAAGAATGTGCTTCCATTCATCCTACGAGTATAATCTCCACAATGTCTCGTGGTTTAGATTTTCGCATTTTCGTCAATCGCCGCTGGTCAAAAACATCAAGTGGCGCCCTAATCCAGCATCAGATCACGACGCCGTGGGCCTGGCACTACTCGATGAGCTTATAACGCCATCAGACACCATATTTGCAATCTCTTTACACGATCGGCGCAAGACTGGCAGTTCTACTTGTTAGAGCGGGGGGTTGGACAATTCACAACACCGTTGGTTCAAGAGGGTGGGTGTAGGCTTAGTGGCGACGAGAGCTTTATTCAAGGAGCACAAGCCGGCTGGCCTATCTGATCCAAGTTCTTGGCAACATGTGAAGACTTGTTTGCTACAAGAGGAGGCCTTTCAAGGTATTGGAATCCAGTGATGCAGCTATATTTGCACCGTCTTCACAAGCTCTAGATTACTTGTGTAAAAACACTAGCCTGTTATTTATTGCTTTATATTAAGCTTTCCTTGCATCACTTAGGGTTCTATCAAACGACGTACAAGAAAAAGCTATCGCTTATATGCCGCATGAGAAGTGCCAGCGGGACTGTAACCTACATGTATTTAGGCTCCAGGGTTAGATTGGCAAGCTATTTGATCAAGGGCAGCATCTCGGCGTATACAACAAGAGCCCACCGGCATCAGAGAATGAGGTGGAAATATTGACTGGCACAGCCTGATACTATAATTGTCTGTAATAAATCAAGTTAGTCCTGCATGTAATAGGAAGCGAGCTGTGGGCACTGACGGTGTAGAACAAGAAGCCTGAAACTTGGGGATTGACATACATTCGCTATTGTAAGGCTTCTCAGTGCCTATAGTAATAGCCGTGCTTGACAGAACCCCAAATTTTCCATTACCTATTTCAAGGAGACGGAGACGCTCCCACAGAAGGAGACAGGTGCCTTAGTAGACCACTGAAAAGAGATGTCCATTCATGCTCGTTGCGGAGTGTTGGCTGTCATACTTGGTACATGTCACGGCGTTATTAAGAAACTTCTGCAAGAGTAAACGCTACGCGTGGCACCTGGCCATGTGTGTGAGATTGCGGAAGCAGTTTCTCGCAGTTTCTATTTGCCCAAGATACTAGGTATGTAACAGGTTAAGACGATATTATCGACGAAGGTTTAGCACTATGTAATTGGAGCAGCCGCACAACGGCCTCATTCCTACCCCCTTCCCGATCCATGGCGTACGATAGCGGCGTCCGGCCATGCTTGTCGGCCGCCTCGGTCTGCGCGCCCCAGTTAAGCAGCAGCCGCACGGCGGCCTCATTCCCGTGCTCGCTCTTGTTCTCTGCAGCATATGATAACGGCGTCCGGCCGTCTTTGTCAGCTGCTTCAATCTGCGCGCCCCGGTCAAGCAGCAGCCATACAGTGGCCTCGTTTGAGTTCCGGTCCCAGTTTGTCCGGTTCCCTGCAGCATATGATAACGGCGTCCGGCCGTCTTTATCAGCTGCTTTAATCTGCGCGCCTCGGTCAAGCAGCAGCCGCACAGCGGCCTCATTCCTGTTCCAGCTCCTGTTCTCTGCAGCATACGATAACGGCGTCCGGCCGTCTTTGTCAGCTGCTTCAATCTGCGCGCCCCGGTCAAGCAGCAGCTGTATCACAGGCTTGTTCTCGTCCCCGTTCCAGTTCCACTTCGCTACAGCATACGATAACGGCGTCCGGCCGCCCTTGTCAGCTACTTCAATCTGCGCGCCCTGGTCAAGCAGTAGCCGTATCACAGGCTCGTTCTTGTTCCCGTTCCTATTCCCGTTCCCTGCAGCATATGATAACGGCGTCCGGCCGTCCTTGTCAGCTGCCTTAATCTGCGCGCCCCGGTTAAGCAGCAGCCGTATAATGGCCTCGTTCCCAAACCCGTTCCCTGCAGCATACGATAACGGCGTCCGGCCGTCTTTGTCAGCTGCTTCAATCTGCGCGCCCCGGTCAAGCAGCAGCTGCACAGCGGCCTCATTGCCGTTCTTGCTTCTATTCTCTACAGCATATGATAACGGCGTCCGGCCGTCCTTGTCAGCCGCCTCAATCTGCGCGCCCCGGTCAAGCAGTAGCTGTACAATGGCCTTGATCCCGTTGCCGTTCTCTGCAGCATACGATAACGGCGTCCGGCCATTTTTATCAGCTGCTTCAATCTGCGCGTCCCGGTTAAGCAGCAGCTGTATCACAGGCTCATTCTCGTTCCCGTTCTCGCTCCTATTCTCTGCAGCATACGATAACGGCGTCCGGCCGTCCTTGTCAGCTGCTTCAATCTGCGCGCCACGGTCAAGTAGCAGCCGCACAACGGCCTCATTCCTTACCCCATAATAACCCACGGCAAGCAACAGCGGCGTCCAGCCGTACTCGTTAGTCACCTCAATCTGCGCGCCCCGGTCAAGCAGCAGCCGCACAACGGCCTCATTCCTCCCCCCTTTCCCAATCACGGCAGACAACAGCGGCGTCCGGCCGTCCTCATCGGCGGCCTCGATGTGGGCACCGCAGGAGAGCAGCGCTCGTAAACAAGCTTCATGGCCATAGTGCGCTGCATAACTCAAAGGAGTACGGCCACCATACCGCCTATCTTGTGCGTTAATTGTTGGTGTCATGAATTCGAGTAAGTGTGTTAGGAGTAATAGATAGCCGTGCTCCGCAGCATAATGGAGCACGGTCGTAGTTCCTGGAAGCGAGAACGCTTTGTGGTAATCATCTTGACTAATAATTTTGTCCAAGGCCTTGCAATGAGGCTGAAGTGCCTTGAGTACCTCTTCATGGCCATATTTCAGAGCAACCAAAAGAGGGTATTTGCATCTCTCTCCTTTCGGATGAGCATCAAATCCGTTGTCAACTGCAGATCGGACAAGAGACGGTAGGTTGTGTTCAGCAAGGATGTAGACTAAAGAAGCCTCGGTTGTGTAACGACGAACTTCATACTGTTGAAACAAGTTGGACAAATAAAGCCAGCGCTTCAATCCGAAGTTCCTCAAGAATGTAATCTGCGGAAAATCGTCCTCGGCAGAATTTGCATGATGAAGAACATGTCGTGTCGCGTAGTCAAGAAATGGGAACTCCTTTGAGACTCGAGTACGTAGCTCTTTTGCCAGCTTTGACGAGGCGGTAGGCAGAGGCTCGCCCTGGGGTACGATTTCGGAAATGTCAATGTTACAATAATTGTCACAGCATTGTTTCAGTCGATCGTGGCTGTAGCTTTCAAAGTTCGCTGCGTGGTTTGGCCATAACTGGCGAATCCCGTTGTCCTTGATGAGAAAATCGCGTACCGATTCATGAATGAACTGCACAGTTCGCTTCTTCGACTTGACAAGTTCGGCAAGGCCTTTCGAAGAGCTAAGAAGATACAGCTCCATGTCACCAGTGGTAGTGGATTCTCGATCGCACCTAACCAAGTTCTCAGGGCTTGGGTCCAGTCCTGATACGAGGGCAAAGTAGTACTCTTCACACGTCAAGGGTCTTGCTGCATATAAGATCCACTGGATGCAAAGTAACAGATCGTCCATATTCTGATTGTCCCGGCAAAGTATATCCTTGAAAAGGTTACTAAGCCCATCGGGCAGCTCCCTTAGTCGCCGCTTTACTGCCCACATGCGACCATTGCGGAACTCTCTGTTAAGTATGTCAACGACGAGTACCACCCATAGAAAAACTCCTGAGGCCCTCTCTAGGATTTCGGCAGAGACCTCCTGAGACGCCTTGCTGTTGCCGGCTCGTAATTTGCTTCGGACATACTTCACAAGGTCTTCGCCGTGGCCTGGCTGATCCTCTAACGTGAGTTTTAATCCGTTACGTATCTCGATATGCGGATAGTGGCGACTGGAAAAACATATGTAAATTTTCGTTTGGCTTTCGGCAGCTTGATCTCCAAGGTCTTCGAAACACTCGACCATGTTCTCAACCTCAGATATGTCACATTCATCCAGAGCATCGATGAAGCAGGTAATCTGTCGCTGGCCAAGTCTGGTAACCGCATGGGTGAAAAGAGCCTGGAGCGTCTCGATATCCCAGGTGGCCTGGTTGTGCCTGGCTTGGAAGACGTGGTCTGAATCGTGTAAGACGTCCGGGAATTTTTGAATGACTTGAAAAAGCAAGGACCGATACATTCCCTCTGTTGACCTTTCCAGGTGAACGCCTCGGGCGTTGAAGAAGAAAGAGATGACGGCTGCGTCGGTTGTTGCTTTCCACTTGTTCTTCATGTAGGTGTAGGCAAACTTCATCAATGTTGACTTCCCAGCGCCGGGCTTTCCATTGATCCACAGGAATCCATGATGGCTGGCAAAATGGATTGATTCAAGCCACTCGACGTACTTTGGGTGGCCAAGCAACCATTGGCAAGTTTTGGAATGTTGAGTCTTGATTGTCGCATGGCGCGAGTTGATTTGCTCAAACGTTAATGAGCCCAACACTGCCTCTATTCGACTCTGGAGCGATCTTGGGTCTGCGAGGGGATCAGTCAAGAATACAACATTCGAAGCTTCAACACATACCTGTTGTAGGGGTTTTTCTAAGTCACTTAGTCAATAAACGTCCATGTACCATTTTGCTTAAACGAGAACATACCCTAATCCTCCTAGTCCCCAAAAAGCAGCGCTATAGAATTTTGATTCCCGTGGAAGATGTTGGTCCAGTTGCTCTACCAAATCTTGGCGCTGGATTACATTTTCGTTACGGGGATATGGAACAACATGAGTCTTTTGATTAGCTTTGGATGATAGAGGACTGTGTGTTAGATGATAATGAATGTCACCCTGGCTGATAACAGTGTTGTTTCCAAAACTATTATCATTAACAGAACGTTTGTGGGACCTTGCTTCTTCATCCCTTCGTTGCTGTGTAGGCATGACTAACAGGAGTTCCTTGGCGTAAGCAGCAGCGACAGCAGCGGAATATTTCTGCCATGCTTTGTTCTTGTGAGAATCTGAGTAGTCGCAAATGCCGCGAATAGCAAGGCAAGGAGAATCATGCAGTCCTGCAGCCTCGGTCTCCAAGCAGATGATACCAAGTTCCTCCGCCATCTTAGCACGTAATTCGCCGTCCTTGACGACCTGGTTGCCGGATGCAATTTTGCCATAGTGGACTCTGGGTGCCGTGGTCTCCCGATGAGGTCGTTCTAGAACCTCCGATAGATTACAGCGCTCGCAGCTGTCCATCTCATGCGTATGCTTGTATGTGTGACGGAACAAGCGATCCGGCAAGCTAGGTCGGGCGTATGAGATCATTTGCTCGTTTTGGCCAAGCATGTCCAAGAGGATGCTGGGAATTCCGCTGGGCGCATTCTCATAATCTGCTTGTAACTTGGACACAGCAGTCATGATCGTGTGAGGGGGTGTGGTAGTGCGGCCTGTTCGCTGAAACTGGCCGTCGGGCAAGACCTTGCCCAAGTCGTACTGCATCACTTCATTCCCGACGACAACATCTCCTAATCGTATGTCGATCCCGCTATCGGGCACTCCACCACCAATTCCAACCATCAATCGAGTGGTGATCGAGGAGAAGCTTCGACTCATATTGCTGGCCACTGTAGCGGCGTTGTTTGTGCCGTATTGGCTCGCTGGGAGGCATGCGATAACAACATTATGCTCAGCAACGCGGCCGAAGGTGTAGGTATTGATATCGCCTTCCTTGCGGCGCAAAGGGACGTGAATGCTGTCTAGCATAGCTTTTGCCGCTGCCATCTCAATGGGTAGAGCGCAAACCCAGCCAACGGTGTAGTCGCTGTGGCAAAGGCTTTGCCCGTCGCCATTGTTCGATTGGTGTCGTTTCGAGCGGATCGAGAGTGCATCATCGTCGCTTCGAGTTCTCTTTCTGCTCTCGGGAGCCTCCATGCTCTACCACTTTCATCACGCGGGGCAAAAAGGTCTCGGTTCGTTGAGTATGTACGCTGCTGGGGTGGACAGACCCGTCATGTGCTTATCCATGCCTCTTCAAACGAGCTTTGATGGAGTATATTGCCGAGGGGTTGCGACTGGTGCAGCAGAAGAGGTAAACCTGGGAGCAGTGGGGAGGAAAATTAAGAACGAGTTTGAGCCGCAAGTCAGGCTGGTGGTTGGAGCCTGATTTTCGCTGGTATTACGGAGTATAGACATCGTGATTCGTTGTTTTGTCACCGCAGGCATTCAGCTGCCTGCAGGCTGTGCTGAAATTATGCCTTGCTGGGATGCCTTGCTGGGATGCACACGTCAAACACGCCAGGGCTTCCGACGCTTGGATTTATTCGTTACTTGAGGCGACCGTTGCTCGGTCGACCAACAACAGGATCGACAAATGCGAATGTTCGCCAAATTACACCGCGCTTTGTTCCCATTGCAAAAGGAGAATCCCATGCTAATAAGGCCTGCAGGTCTTTAGATTGGATGCAGGGGCTCCCCAGCGCTTGGAGAGGTCGTCCTGGCTGCCTCCTCTGAAAAGCCGTAGGGCCGAATGCGAACAGGGATCACCATTGTCAGGGCGGGGAGCGGATTAAGCTTAGGGAATATATACTACTCGCTAGCCGGATCGATTTACTCCCACCTCAGGTTTCCCTCCCAGCCCACATAGTTAGAGATAATCTATAGCATATTAACACTTGTTGTGCTAATATATCCCACATGCATGTTGCGGGAGCCTTGAGTCCTCTTTTTATTTCCTCTTCACTTCCGGATTGGATCAGCGGCCTTCTAACACCTCAGCCGAAGCGTGGCGGGGTACACGCGCGAGAATTAAAACTCTTTTCATATATTAAAAATAAAAACCTGGCCTTCAGGAAACCTGTTTCTCTTAACCAAACGTTAATGTAATGGTTGGTTTAGCCATGGCTCCAATATGCGGAGCTCGCACTCTGCACAACCAGGTTGGTAACTTATGTTCCTTAAGGTATAAAAAATATTAAAGTCTTAAATAAATTAACATAAATTAATCAATATTATTCTTTTATTATTTATCTACTTAATATCTTTTTTTTTTTCTTCCTTTTCTATTCATTTTAACTTAATGCGCCTCTTTTATAATCAAGCCTTCGTTATGAGCTGTATACTGCCTCGTTATTTACAAGTCTCTGGAAATAGTAACATTGGTCTCTAATTCTACAGGTATAAGTTGCTGAAAATAGCCATCCATAAACACAAAGCATAAACTTGACGGGGCCCTGAGGTCTCCACTACCTATGGTTGTATGTGCTTGTCTTGGTGTTAAGTCCCCTCACATAAAACAGTCGTCAAACAGGTATAAAAAAGCAAAAATAAAAACATATAACAGCCGATGTTCGCTGATGGTCAGCCACTTAACTACTAATCTGCCTCTCATTAGCTTAACTCTGGGAGAGCGGACGTAATCCCATATATTCTAATGGATATGGTCGTATATACTTAAGTGCAGGGGTAATTCGGTTTAAGTAAATAAGTTAACCTAAGATATTAAAAAGCAAAAAACATATAACAGCCAGTGTTCACTAATAATTACCCACTTAACTATTAATCTACTAATTAAAAGCTTATTTATAAAAAAGTTAATAAAGTATATACTTTAGTAATAAAATATATTTAAGCTTTTATTAATATAATTTTTTTATTTATTTATTAAAATTTACTGCTGTTTTTTATAAAGTAAATAAAGCTTTTATTTATTTTATTATTATTTTATTTAATTTTTAATATTAAAGAGTTAAAAATAAATTATTTACTTTTTTTTACTTTATTTTTTTTAATTATTAAAAAATAAATAAAAGTATTTTAAAATTAAAGTTAAATAATAAATATTATATTTATTTTTTTTTATTTTTTTTTTATTTTAATATTATAAAAAATATATACTTTTTAACTTATATATTAGTATTTTTAAATAATAATTTATATATTATTTATAATTTTTATTTTTATAAAAAATAAAATAAATAAATATTAATTTACTATTATAATTTTAAATATTTTTTTATAATTATTATATAAATATAAAGTTATTTTATATTTATTTTTTTATTTACTTTTTTTTTAATTTTTATATATAAAAATATTTTATTTTTATTTAAGTTAATAATTATTTAAAATATTATTATAGTTATTTTTATAATTTTATTTATTTTTAAAAATATAATAATATTTATTTAAGGACTTTTTCTTTTTAAATAACTTTAAAAATAAACTTTTAATAAAAAAAAAACTTTAATTATTTTTAAAAAATATTTAAAAAACTTATTTAATAATAATTTATATATAAACTTAAATATATAAAATTATTATAATAAAATATAAAAAAATTAATAATAATAAAATATTATTATTTTTTTTTAATTATTTTTTATTAATATTAATAAAAATAATTATTTAATTTTATTAAAAATATAAATATAAATTTTAATAAAATTTAAATTAATTTTTATA